TAGGGAACTTGTGTAGCCGAAATTGTGACATCACTGTCCATTTTTAGGTATAACACTTTGAAAGGGTCGAGGTATTTGTGTAAACCTTATTGTTCCTTGTACTTATGTATTTATTGTGATTAATTTGGGTATATTCTTCTCTCTTTTGTTTCTTTATTGTCTGCCAATGGAAATAAAACGTTGTCTGCCTGCCTCATGTGGTTGGACATGTCGCCCCGAACCAACAAAAGAGCTGATACGAATCCTGAATTACGTACCCCCTACATTAAGTTACAAAATTTATTTCAAGTTTATCCTAAAAGTTGCGTAGCTACCGCTCAGGATTGATCTTTGATGCATGCTGTGGCGAATCTTAGTGGCTTGTGTATCAGCAGTGCCCTCTTAAGACTAATGTTAGTGCAATGCTACAGTGTGCGTGCGGTTTTCTTCCAGTCGATCACGCGGAGTCGTAAAACCAGTGTCCATTTAATACTGTTGGCGGATAGCCGTGCGTGCCCTGGCCGTCACTAGAAGATGATTTTGAACAAGTGCCGACCAATGTACCCAGTTTCTCAGCTAGTTAATTACAATTAACTCTTCAACAACTAGTGGCTTTCCCTTCTAATCCTTGGGGAAATAATGGCCACTTGCCACTGTCCAACATAAAAAATCTGACTGTTTTTATGAAGGTGACGTTCAGGAATTACAAATGGCAACTGCGTAGTGTTCGGTAGGTTTTGACCACAAAATATTAGGAGCCAAGAATAATAATCGGTACAGCCGAATGTTCGGCATAGCGGTGTTCGGTAAAGCAGCGTTCCACTGTAGTCCAACTCACAACCTGTTAATAATGCTTAGAAATTGAATATCTGAGACCGGCCTAAGTCCACAAGACAAAGTTTTGAGAAAATTACAAAAACCCAGGCTTTTACTTTGGCAAGCATAATGTGCATGCATGCATATGTACCGGTACTTGTCTTATTAAGTAAAATAAACTTGGGAAGGAGACTTGGGTCTGTCTTCTGCACATATGACAGTCTCACATGAAAGCAGCACTTTGACAATCTTGATTCGATTTTGCCAAAATGTGAACTTGGGCCTGTTCCATATTCAGGCATTCAGTCTCTTTGCAAGTTTATTTGTATGTGCATGCCACATCAAAAAAGTTTCATAGCTAGTGGGGAGTTGACACCACACTTTAAACGTTTTGTATGGTCATTTTTTGCACTTCCATCTGCGCCATACAATTCCACTGGAGAAGTGGAATATGAAACTCTGCACCACTTCTTTACAAAAATTGCATCAGTAGTCAAGCACGGACCATTTACCCAGGGATGTGCAACTTGAGCTCAGAGGTGGTTCAGTGTGTGTTACGGTCGGCACAATATCAAAGCAGAAATTAAGTTGGATTATGTAACACTTACTCTAATTATAAAACGTATGTTCTTGTCTACCACTTTGTTTTCTTGCAATATTTTAAGTCAGGGTTCACCCTTTCTAAAAAGATGCTGCTCAAGATATTTCATCCTATACATTCTGAGAAAAGTGTACCACAAAAATGGGGAATTTTGCCTCATTAAAACTTTGTTTCTCCTTGAAATCGATAAATGAAGATTTATTCGTCAAAGTGAAATAGATTTAAGCACCGCGTCGGCACGTCGTTCGGCATAACCACGGCTGCGCTGTACATGCTACAACGCGTGTCATGTGGTTGCGAGTTTTCTCGAGAAAGTCGAGAGCGCCTGCGGGGGTAATAACAATCCGTAACACGCATGAAACCAAGGTGGCACATGTGCTTGCACTGGGGCCGCTCACGGTTGCACATCCCTGGGTAAATGATCTGTGAGTAAAGGGTTCCAGTTCCCTCTGCTCTTTTGGATTTGAGAGAATGGCAGTTCCCTCTGCTCTTTTGGATTTGAGAGAATGACATTCAGAGCCGTTTTTATATGTTTGTAACAAACCTCTCAGAGAATCTTTTCTACCATCGTCCATATTGCAGAGACATTTTGAAAGATATATTTAACAATCTGTCTTTTTAAGCAGTTACCGTATTTTGTTTGTAATTCTTCAGGTTAAAATGGCACTGGTGCGAATGCTTCAGAATTTTCGTCTGGAGACTTGTGAGGAAACTGAGGTAATACAGGTAGTCTGGTTCCCTTGACTTTTTCAATAGATCGTAGGTAGGAGGAATACTGTACACCTGGCAACTATGCTGAGCTATGAAGTGGGGTTAAGTTCCAGACATTGATCAGCCCAACTTCCGCCCCACAGATAAGATAGCCAAGCTGCTTCCCAGAGAAACTGTTGCAAATTGCTTTAAAAGTGGACACCTTTTCTAATTTTAATGGGAGATTGTACATGCTCTCAGTTCAGTCTGGTGAAATTGCTTCTGAACTGACTGTCTGTGGGAGCATCTGCTCGACCTTTTGAAGAGAATTCAAAACCGTTTTATCAGGGAACCAGACTTAGATATCTTATAACAAATGACATCACTTCATACTGCAGGGCTGATGTATTCAGATTACTTGTAATCCATAAATCCATTTCCATTTACCATGTAAATCATCTTGTGATTTTATATGTTGGACAGACCTCTCGCAATCATTCCAGTGATGTTGTACCATAAATCCAATCAGCTATAATTTCAGGTACATGTACTTAAAATAATTATGACCAATCGTTGTATTATCCTTTCGTTTCTTATTATTTCATTCTGTTCTCTCCCTCTCCTCCTCCAGATTCCACCTGTTCTGTCAAAGTTTGGATCCTTGACCCCAGCCAAGGGCTTCAGGCTCGCTGCTGTTCCTCGATCTTAAAGATGCTACCAGACAGTTGTCTGGTATCGGGAGCTATAATGCCCCACATGTTCTGCAGCTGTCATTTTGCTACAGGCAGTCACAAACCATTTTGATTTTGCCTCATTCGTTTCTGCTCCTGCTTGTAAAATATGTGAGGGTAATTCTTCAATGAGCATTTGATTTTCTTAGCATTCATGAAGTATAGTTGTAGAAAAGAGCCCATGAATCAAGGAATCATTCGCGTTGTAGCTAGCTATTTGCAGAGGTGAAGAGATGGAAACAATATTACAGGACAAGTAGGACAGCCTTTTTGTTATCAACAGCACACAGAATATCGTTATGGACCTTCAGGAGAGCCATCTTTACACTGTGGAATGAGCGGAAGGCTGATTGTGTGGCTTCATGTAGATAATACTTTGACAAATGCACATTTCATCCTGCCGGCATTATTTTTGAAAAGTCCTTTTTGTTACCCTCAGAGCTGTTGATCCTGGCATGATACTACAAAGATTTAGCTTTGCACTCTTTGCATACATTTTAATAATGTAAATTTTATAATTTTAAGGAGATTATTTAATCTAAATACCTCATCACTTTACACTTGTATTGTGTGTAATTTTGGCTTTAATTGTTAACATAGGAAAACGCCTGTATGCATCATTTAAAACAGTTAATTTATAGAGTCAATCACAGTGTTGTTTGATTGTGTTTGGGGGCAAATTAAATTCAAATGAAAGTAAGCATATACGTAAAACAGTTTTTAAATTCACCGGTAAGCTAATACTGTATAATCAGCTTGTATTGAATTGGTTTTAAGTTTTGCTAGACGAATTCATTATGTGTTGTTTTTGATATTTCAAGCAATATTTCCAAAATAAATGTTACCCTTTCGTGTCAAAATTTACCCAGAAAGTAACCTATGTACTGCAAATGGTCATGTGATACGCATTAGTAGCTGTTCAGTAATCTCATCGTTGGAGTAAATCCTAGAGATGGAGGTTAGATGGGGAAACATATCCCCCTTTTATGACCGGGGAATGAGTCAACCCCTCACCCTCATCCAACACACACCCTTACATTTGTATTCATGTGGGGTATTGCCTTTGTTCGTGTGTACTAAAAATTAACCTGTTAAATACTATTTCAAATTGCTCCCATTTGAACCAGACTATCTTTCCTGGGTTGATATTTCGATCAATTTATTGACCTTATGTCAAATACTTCGATTTGGGTCAGATACGTGTATCTTGGAAATTCCTCCTTTTTGAGCAAATTCCGAAATTCTGTTTCTTGAAATTAGGGTATTACCCCACAAGGAAAATGGGTGTTCCTTGTAGGGCACATCCTATTGTTATGTTCCACAAGATACCAACACACACAACATTTTATGTAGAGGTTGTTTAAAATTTTGCATCAACCGACATGTAGACGAAAAAAGTGATGTGAGTCAGGTTTAATAGCCTCCCAACTATAGTACATGCACGTCTGTATTCTGAACAGTACCCCTTAGTGTAATGTGATGTCCAGCCCTCGCCCCACGCCTTTACTTAATCCCCACTACCTTTACTTCCCCACTACCTTTTTATAATTTCCATAATCCGTCAGTTTTGATAATTTCATTATGCCCCATCGCCAGGTCAAGGATTTACGCCAAGAGTAGTAGTTGTTAAGAATTTTGGCATTATCAACATTTCATCGCTCACCCATTTTAAAAGGTTAAGTCTGGTATTATTTGATTTTTTTTCAGTGCATAGTAATAGTATCACAAACAATCAAATACAAGCTTTCTGTCACCATGAAGAGGATTCTTTTGCCTTTATTTCACGAAGTTATGTTCATTTGAAAGCCTGAATCACACACTGATTTAAAACAGTCAAACTCCAAAGCCGTCCCTAACTCTGCCACACTTTTCATGGAGCCAGTGGGTGTCTTTAAAGCCTGTTTCGTGTACCCTAACTTGACGCTATCTCTGACATAGCTCACTTTGATATTTATCCTGCATTGCCTCGCTGGAGCAATATTTTATCTCGAATTTCACAATTGGTAAAAATCCATCAAGCACTCAACATTTGCGTTCATAAATGTTGAGGTTATGTACCCACTTCTCTTTTGGCCTGATTTTCTGAATTTTATTTCGAAATGCACTAGCTTATGAACTCGCTTGAAATGCTTCCCAAAATAAGAAAAGATTGTCGCAAAATTGTGGTTTGGCATGTGAATGGACGGGAAAAAAGGTCAACTGCAGCTAAATTCTTGAGTGTCGGCGTGGAATTTTCTTACATGTACGTGTATTTGGTACCCTGCATTGCGTGGGGAAAAGATTTTCCTAAGCCGCAACGCCCAAACATTCATGAAGTCAGTCAACCTTTAATACCAGAATGATGGGCAGAGTGCCAGTTGAGTTGTTATTGGTAGATGTAGCCACTTATGCATTGATTTGAATAATGAATATTTATGAAGGGTAGTACACAAAACATTCCGAGTTCTTTGGAATAAGGCGTGGCAATGCTGGAATTTTTCCTTCGGGTTTAAAAATAAAAGATATGGGTTGGTGTGATCAGTTCGTTGCTGGATTCCGAGGAGAGGGCAGCGGCCAGCCTCAATGACTTGTAGTCGTGAGTCGAGTTAGTTTTGAGATGAGTGACTTCTAAATATGGAAGTAGAATAAACTACATGTACATTTAGACTGTTCTGAGAAACGGAAACCCAGGAAACGCCCAGTTCCTGTAAGTTAGCTATGTATAAATATGATATATGGGATATTTATTTTATACATTTGTTCCTTGCAAAACCAGATATTGAGCCAGTGAAAATGACATTTGCCGAGATATTGCATACAATCCTAATTGGTCTAAGTAATTTGAGTTCAGGTTGTTGCAGCACTGAAACAATTTATCGTTATCCTGGAAGTTGACACACGTCATAACACGTCAAGTTTATTAATGAATATTTTGCGTTTATTGTAACTTGGCCCGAAAAATCAGAAACATGGGAATATAGTGGTAATTTTCAGGGTTTTACGTTAAGAGGAAGAGAGAGTCGGTTGACCGGTGGTGGCAGAAGGGTTGGACCGCGGTGGCGGGACGCAGAAACTTACCGAATCCGCTACAGGCCACAGAAGCCGACTACAACGCAAGAAACAGATGCAACATGGTGGCGGGACATTGAGGCGCTCATCACCTCATTTATATTGTAATAAAAAATGTTAATGTAAAAATTATCCTTATTTTGTGTTCTTTTATAAATAAATGTAAATATTGTACAGGCAAAACACATTTCTAGCAACAGGTGTGTATATATTCGTGTCTAAGCTACCAAAGGTCTGTCCCTAAGGGTAGGTCAACTCTAGGGGTGTGACAGTATGAAACATTTTTACAGTGCTATAGCGGATGCATATACGCCACACTGGTCCCTGGTCACATCGGTCGTACTCCCCAGTTGGTCATGTTGGTTAGACCGTACCCAATTTGTAGCAAAAAATAATGGAACAAAAGTTGGAATTAATGTGCACGCCAATAGGCCAGTTGGGCCTACTTCTTGTTTATTTTGAAATACTATTTTGAGTTT